TCCTGATTCTTCATTTTTGGTGGTAGGAGGTCCCTCTCCTCTTTGCTAGCTTCTCTCTTTTATATCTCAAAAGAGATTAACTCAAGATACAACCTAATCCTGTAGATTGAGTCCTGCCTCATTAACGTAATTACCTCTAATCTTGCCTCATTAACATCACAGATTAGGATTTACAACACAGGATAATCACATCAAATGACAACCACACAATACTGGGAATCATGGCCAAGCCAAGCTGATACACATTTTGGGGGACACAATTCAATCTATAATATTAACTTCAAAAGGGATCCCATTGGCCAAGTTGTGATAATTTGAGCATCAAAAAATAATAAAATATGATGGTTAATTAGAATATATTGAGTCTGTGGAAAGCTAGCATCAATAATGATATTCAAAGAAAATGAATGAGAATTTCCTTTTCAAGTAACAAATACTATATTTGGGATGTTTTTATTAAATAAGCAAAGATGTTATTCATGTTAAATCATATGAGTTGTGTCAGGATTGTAGATATGTACACACACACAGGCAGATGAAATACATGTCAGCAAAAGACTGAAAATATTTTATACCCAGGTTTGGGACATCTTTGTTCATATGGTGACCGAGGTACACTTGCTATATGCTAAATTATAAACAGAGTCTACAAGGCCTTAAAATTCACTACTTTCATTTCCCATAAAAATCAAACCAAACCTGTTGCTATCAAATAGATTCTGACTCATAGTGACCCTATAGGACAGAGTAGAACTGACCCATAGTTTCCAAGGACAGGCTGGTAGATTCGAACTGCTGACCTTTTGGTTAGCCACTGTGCCACCAGGGCTCCTCATTTTCCATATAACCTAGAATTTTCAGGTAACATTAGAACATTACATTAGGAATTAAAAAATATTAATAAACTGGTCGAGGTTTATGCAGCAACTAGATTCTGATGGCCAGAGGTCTTGTCCTCAAGCTGTCATGAATATGGATGGAATTTTTAGGCAACAGAAAGATGGGACTCTCTCCTCTTATTACTGGACAGACTCCCGGAACTTTCTGCTTAAGTCTGTGGCCCGCCACTTAAAAGACATTTATTCTGATGACATATTAATCTATTTCAAGTCTCTAATTAAATGTATCAAAACTTTCAAGTCATAGGATATAAGAACCTCTCCTCCCCTCCCTGCCCCTATCCAGCTCTACTGACCTTGATGGATTAGGTTACAACCTTGAGTTTGAAGGCACTTCAAAGACAACTTGTAGCCTTGAAGTGAACTGGATTTTGCCTTTCAAGTAGATTGTAAATATGTAGCACTCTGCTTCTTCGTATTTATTTGCTATTTGGTGGTTCTAGCAGTTATTCCTGGTTATCCTTGGTGGTGGTTTTGTTAGCTGCTGTTGAGTCGATAACCAGCTTATGGTGACCCCATGCACTACAGGTTGTGATCCATAGTGTTTTCACTGGCTTTCAGAAGTAGTTTGCCAGGCCTTTCTTCCTAGTCCATCTTAGTCTGGAAGCTGTGCTGAAACCTGTTCAGCGTCAAAACAACACACAAGCCTCCACTGACAGACAGGTGGTAGCTGTGCAAGAGGTGCATTGGCCATAAGCCCTAGAAAGACAATTCATTTATAGCACTTACTGTTCTTCAAGGAGAATAAGATTTCAATGTTTTCTGTTTTGGTCTGTGGCCATGGTCCAAGACTTAGGTAATGGCTTTAGAAACCTGTAAAGGTACATTGTACCAGGGATTTTTTTTTTTTTCCTAGTGTTACTTAGACTAAAATATGCTGATGTGGAATTTTAGACTGATAAAAAGTTGTTTGAGTTGCTCTGCTAAAGAAATGCAAAAAGTTTTGACATAATTGAAACAAGTGACTGAAACAGAGGGAAAGATTGAGGTAAGGGGAATCTATGAATTTTAGGTAATTTAAAGTTTGAGGCAGTTTGGGGGCAGACCCCAAAAGTAAGATGTTTGAAAATCTGTAATTAGTAGGCTCCAATCTCACTCGCATTAAGCAAACTTAGCTAAGTTTACATCCCTTTGTCAGTTTGTTGCACTGTGCTGGCTTGTGTGTTGCTGTGATGTTGGAAGCTATGTCTCTGGTATTTCAAATACCAGCCGTGTCACCCATGGTAGACGGGTTTCAGCAGAGGTTCCAGACTAAGGTAGGCTAGGAAGAAAGGCCTGGCAATCTACTTCTGAAAATTAGCCAATAAAAGCCTTATGGATCACAACAGAACACTGTACCACTCGCTTGCTTTAGACATTCCTCGGAGGGATCAGTCAGTCACTAGGGGAGGACATCATGCTTGGTGAAGGAGAGGGCCAACGAGGGTAAGGGAGACCCTTGGTGACATGGATTGGTAGAACAGACGAGGGACTCGAACATGCGTGCTATTGTGAGAATGATGCAGGACTGGGCAATGTTTCACTTGCACACAAAGTCACCATGAGTTGGAGTCAATTTGACAGCAGCTAACAACAACAACACTAGACATTTTAAGAGAGGTTTTAAAAATTTGTTTTTCTAAGATATGGGCTTGCTTAAAAATATAGCTGCTTAACTGCAACACCTGTGGTGCCTATGCTATGCTACCAGGAGTTTTCTTTGGAAGTTTGAGCAAAAACAAATAAAAATAGTCAAAACTGTATATATTTTTCTCTCTGCTGCAGAAATAAATTTTCACTTTATTAAATAACTGCCAGCTCTGACATGACTTTCAGCTTCATAGACTCTCTGAATTGATTTTCCCCCAACATCGGAAATTGGCCAACAGAGTAAAGAGTCTCTTTTCATAGCACTTATAGGACAGAGTAGAGCTGCCCTACAGGGTTGCCAAGGAGAGGCTGGTGGATTCAAACTGCTGACCTTTTGGTTAGCAGCCAAGCTCTTTACACCACTGTGCCACTGGGGCTCCAAAGAGTCTCTAGTAGATCTCAATCAAGCCATGCAAAGCCTTGTTCCTTCCACAATACACAAGCTGTACAGTGGAGGCCCAAGGGAGGAAGGAAGCAGTCCATTTTACTTGGGGAAATGAGGTGAGAAAGGCTCCTGGAGGAGGTGAGCTTTCAAAGAATAGATATTTGCCAGGCAGATGAGGTAGGGCTTAGTGGCTGTATGTTCCCGTACCAAAAACCAGGGAGCCCTGGCGGTGCAGTGGTTAAGAGATTGGTTGCTAACCAAAATGGCAGCAGTTCAAGTCCATCAGCTGTTCCCTGAAAACCCTATGGGGCAGTTCTACTCTGTCCTATAGGGTCGCTATGAGTTGGAATCCACCAAAGACCACACCTAGCTCCTGTTGGACAACCTGTTCCATGGCTCAAGTGTACCAGGCTTTCATAGCTGCAACTCCCCTTGTCCCTACAGGTGATAAAGGCTCTCCCCTGTTGCAAGCCCTTAGAGCCTTCACCTCCCCTTGCTAGTTTCCCTTAAATCTCCCCAGATTTCGCAAATAGTTATTTCATTAAACTCTCCAGTCATCCCTATTTCTTGTCGTCTGTGTTCTGCTATGACTTTCACCTTTAACTCATATCACAAAAGCCAGAGAAAAAGAGTTTCAAAGTGACAGTAACTGACAGTGTTAAATGTTGCAGAAGTTTTACTTGATGAAGACTGAAAAAGAATCCACTGTATGTGGCAATTGGAGCTTGTTGATGACCTCTACCAGCACAGGTTAAAGGAATGGTGGAAACAAAGCCTCATCACAGTACACTGAAGATCGAGGGGGAGCCATTCACCATTCCTTTGAGAAGCCTAGCTATGAAAGGGAAAAGAAGAAAGTAGAATTTTGAGGGAGCTGCAGGGTGAAGTTCTCTTTAATTTTAATGTTGCAGGGACTTGAACATGCATATAGCCTGTGGGAAAGAACAATTAGCTAGGGAGGACTTGGAAGTGCAAGAAGGGGAAACATCTTAGGGCCCTCCTCAAAACTCCCTTACCCTCTTCCTTAATCTACCCTAAATAAATCTACCATAAATCTACCCTAAATAAATATATAAATATAAATATAGATTATAAATAAGAACAGAGTGCTTACTATGTAAACACTGGTTTAACACAAACTGCCTGTATAGATATCTAGGAACTTCCATTACACAGAGCTTAGAGGCTAATCAGGTATGAGAAATGAAAGAGCAGAGTCAGAGACAAGGCAGAAATTTTAACTGGGTTTATGGGATGGATGTCATGATACTGTTAACCAAGAAAGAGAATATGAGAAATTGTGTTCCTGGAAGAAAATGATGCATTTTAGGTGTCAGGAGGATCTATGCGGATTTAGGAAATTGGGGGTTGAGAATGTGGGGCTGGAGCTTGGGGAAGAGCATAGGCTTTGTCGTGTGCATCTGCCATCATTTATAAGGAGTTCATCGTTAAGGCAGTGGGGTCCAAGGTGAGGACAAGGGGACATGATGGAAGACTAGAAACAGAGCCTTGAGGAATGCTGTCTTTAAGAGGGCAAGTAAAGGGGGAGTGTCAGAAGGGAAAAATGAGAAAATGCCATAGAAGTAGGAGGATAAACAGAAAAATACAAGCTTATGAGAGCCCATATTGGAAAGCGTTACACCAAGGAAGGGCTAATCAAGGTTAATGGTGGAAGACCTTTTTCTTTTACAGAATACATCACTTCTTTTCTTGAAAATTAATTTTTTAATTTACAGTTAGTTCTAGAAAAGGGTCCCTCTTTTAATAAAACTTATTAAAAATATTTAGAATTGCTCTGAACTCTTCTAATTTTACAGTTTTGTGGTTGACCTCCAAAGGTTGTGCGAGTCTTTGTGCAGAATTCAGTACAATCTGTTCAGCATTTCCATCTAAATACTTCATTATATACTAAAAATATAGCTTGAATTATCTTGGATCATCAAGTTGAACATCCTTGTCTTTGTCATAGTAGAATTGTTCCTCACAGAGAGAGTCAACTCCCATCTGATTACTCTGGGTCTGCATTTGAGTATAAAGTTAGAATCATCTTTTTCTAACTGCAACAGATTGTCCTCTGAACAGTCACCCTAATCTCTATCACTGAAGTACTCTTGTGTTCTTAGGGAACTGCTTTTATTTGGAAGCTCTTGGAATAACGGTCCCTGGCACTTTGAATAGTGTTCAAAATATTCACTTCCTTCTCTTTCACATTGAAGGACAGGTTCATCACCATAGGATTGTAATGATTGTGTCTGGCTTATAACCTTACTCGAATCATTGTCCTCAAGTGGACATACAAACTCCTCATTTGCCTCAGTGTCCATTGGGTTGGATTCCATGCTGTGCTTTTTGGAATCTTGTTGTGAGGGTCTTAAGTTTTCCCCTGTTACGATCTTGAGAGGACTATCTTTTTGAACTGTGTCTATTCCCTGAATGAATGGCTCATAATTACAAATGTCTGAGTCTCCTTCATTGCAGGCACGCTGATCAGGATGTGAGGGAACATCAGCAGAAGATGGTGGTGTTTGTGGTAAAATATCTACATTTGAAAATTCTAGGTCTCTCAGTGAACAATGCCATTCTGGTGCCTCTGACTCAGGAGCTATGACATAATCATAAATGAACATGCCTGGAATCTCCACACTCAAAGGACTAGTGCTCAGGGATCTGGGCAACGTTAATGGATCCTCAAATTTATTGGTGTTAGAAGCACTTTCCTGATCAGTCTCGCACAAACCAGAGTCTGGACCAGAAACGAGAGGCTTTTCAAAATGATCTTCCTGATTCTCACATTTCTCCAGAATGTTCTGGAAGGTGATGTTGTCTTCAAGACTCTCTAATGATCTAGTGTTGTCCATCCTTCCCTCTGCATTCTCATTCTCCGGTGACTCCCTGGCCCTATAGCTCTCCTCGCCATATGCCTCGTCTTCAGTCATATTCCTTGTACCTTCTGAACTTACTGAACTTAGAGTAAATAAAGACCCTTCATCAGAATCATAGTCTGTCTCCAACTCAACCTGAGTATCAGAAGGAACACAGTTCTGCTGTGGTTCCTTGTGGGCAGGAGTGACATCCATGTCACTGCCCCATCTTGGAGGAAAGATGGATGGATCCGTATCTCCTGGATCACTGTATGTGACTGTGCTGTAGTAGGCTGAAGCCTCTTCCTCAGGACTTGCCTCTTTGAGCATTTGCTGCTGAGTGCTCAGTAAATTAATACATGTGCTCATTTGCATTTCCTTAGAAAATTCCAGCTGAGAGCCTAGACCTCCTGAAGGTAACTGTTCAGCGGCCCCTCTTTCCTCATTCTCTCCAGTCCTCCAGGCATTGGTATGCATTTGCATTTTAGAGAGAGAAGCTGTCATTTCTCTTGAGACCAATGGGTTTAATTCATTAGAATCATTATGGATTGAACCAGAGATAGTTTGTAATCTGCTAGCTCCTGAAGAGAAGTTGGTTGAATGCTCACCAAGAGAATCTTCCTGGGCCACAGTGTCATAATTTAACCCTCCGAGAATATCATTCCTATAGATGTGATCCTGTGCTGCTGAAATTGGTTTATTATTATCAGCATTTGGATGTCTGGGGAGAATGGAATGGGTTGCATTGCCATTTGGAAGCAGGCTATCATTTCTGTTTCCTGCCCCAGTGTTATTTCCACACTCTGTGGTGCTCTGCCAGCTGCCAGCCCCCTTTCTGCTGCTTCTAAGAGCTCTGTCACAAGTGACAACAGTGTGTGGCCTTGGCATCACTGGGACAGAGTCCTGGTTCTCATAGAGGTTTAGACCATGAAAAGCTTGGTGTGGAAATGTGGTTGGGGGCTGTATGTTCCCTGCAACTTCAATTTCATCATGGAAGCCCTCATTTGAATATGTATTTTTTGAACCCGGGCTTTTGTTCCAGCATCTTTGTTGCCACAGTCTGTCAATATAAGGCCTTGTCAAAGCCCCCAGGCAGAAAGCAACGAAGAATGTGATAAACACCGACAGGCAGACCGCCAGGGTGAGGTCGTGGTAATTGTCTTCTCTTCTGCCAAGAGTTTCATCGTCCCAGGCATTTCTAACCCATCTTGGCAGACGTCTCTGCTTCTTGTTGATATCAGACCTGACACGTTCCTTCTTCCCCGAAGTGGAAAGGCTCACGGACATTGCTTCCTGGGACCTCTCTTCTTGGCTTGGTAGAAGTTTTTTCATATGATTCAGATGAATGTGAGGGAGGTGGGTCCTCCTGGAAATTCTGATTTTGGAAGTCCACCAGAATGCCTCCTCATTCCCTGAAAGTGGGAGGATCAAACACACAGACATTGAGCAGACATTGAAATAAGACTCTAATGGTCTTAAAAGCTTTCGAGAGTCCTTCTCAGTCCTTATCTAGCTATATTGTAAAGTGCATATTCCATGATGATCGATAGTTTACAGACAGCTTTTTTGCGTTTTTCAGTCTAATGCCAACCGTATGTATATGGCTCGAGCACATTTACAAACAGCTATCCCGCTTAGAGAGTCCCTGAGTAGTGCAATCGGTTAAGCGCTTTACTACTAACAGAAAAGTTGACAGTTCAAACCCACCCAGAAGTGCCTTGGAAGATAGGCCCAATGATCTGCTTCCAAAAGGTCACAGCATTGAAAACCCTACGGAGCAGTTCTATTCTGCACTCAAGGGGTCACCATGAGTTGGAATCGACTCAGGGGCAACTAACAACAAAAACAGGCTTAGGACTGCTGCTTCTAGGCCTAGGAGGTTGTATGTTTCTTAGGCCTTCTGCCTGACTGTTGCCAGATAGGAAGAAAAACAGAGATGGGAGGAGGGACGGCCACATCATTTCTCATTGCCCCATACCCTCAGCCACCCACATCTGTGAGAACATTCCATCAGCCTCCTGCAAAATCTGCCTTGGCCCTACCTATGTTTGCAGTATTATTTCCTCACCATTCTCCAGTATTGGGGAATAACAAAAATATTTAAGTTTCTCTACTGGCTTCTGATATTCTGCCCTTCACAATCCAAGTGCCAGCTGTGGCTTTTACAACAGAATGAAACAAGAGTGGCTGACAACATTAAGACTTCTCTGTGATCTTCATGCATTTCTTCTAAACCTGGGAAGCATAGCCATGTTTCTACTTTAACAGTGGTCCTGAATATAACAAAGTCCAGGACTCATTAAACAAAAATTTTTTTAAAAAAAAGAAAAAAACACTGACTTTCTGTTTCCAGTTAGGAGTTGGAGATTTAGCCAAGATAGTTAATAATGAAAAAAAAAATTTCTAGAATGTTCAACACCAGTAACATATTCTTGCAATTTGGGAGAGTGGCAGTGAACAAATCAAAGAAAAATAATACTTTTGAAATATGTAGGGTCACACTTTCAGAGTACCAGCAAATATTTAAAATAAGGATATTTCAAATTTAAAACATTTTTTCTTTGATTAATTATTTGCTAAGAATTAGAATAAAAATATGACATTTTGGGCTTTAGAGTGCAATTTCCTTCTAGTGAATTTTCTGTTCCTGACCAAATCCAATTGTTTCTGAGCTATTTGAACTAAGCTTCCTTGACCACATACAGAAAATCGTTCATAAACTGAGGAAAACAGGCACCAGTGATTATTCTGTGACATAACCCAAGGCTGACTAACAAACACATGGGCCAGAACTCTTGCTTTCAGGGGGCTGTCATTGTTTTAGGAGCTCTGGTGGCGCAGTGTTAAGCACTCAGCTGTTAACCGAAAGGTCTATGGTTCAAATCTACCAGTCACTCCATGGAAGTAAGACGTGGCAGTCTGCTTTCATAAAAACTACAGCTTTGAAAACCCTATGGTGCAGTTCTACTCTGTCCCATAGGGCTGCTGTGAGTTGGAATCAACTCAACAGCACCGGGTTTGGTTTTGATTTGGTCATTGTTTTAACCGAGACTAAAATGGGACCATTTCAGAGAACGAAGAGATACTACTGACTTACCTATAGACTTGTTGCAAATTTCATTCCACCTTTTCCTCCAGGATTCAGAAATGAAATCTTGGAAGACTGTCGTGCTATCGTCACACTGCCATTGGTTGTCAGCCAAGTCAACCTCCAGATGGGGAAGTTCTAGAGCAATGACCATCATCGACATCATCGATTGGATGGTGGTCAGAGCATTGCTGCTGAGGTCTACAACCTGTTTGAGAAGAAACAAAGTTAGGAGAAATCTATGAATAACATGTAGAGATAAAATAAACAAGCTACAGAAAGGCATTGTTGATATCTCTATGGGGGCAATATGAATCAGAGAATACTGAGTTTAAATCTCTGCTCTACCCTCAAAGACTCTGAGAACCATAGCAAAATTGTTTAATCTCTGTAAGCCTCCTTCCCAGGGTTTTGTAAGGATTAAGTGAAAGCTCTAAGCATCGTACCTAGACTAGATGCCCATTCATTTTTCCTTCCTTCTTTCATATTAGTTATAATTTGTACTGTTAGATAAAACCTAAACTTCTGCATTGTTGTCAGCGTCTAGAATTAGATACCAGATCTAGAATTCCTTTTCTTAAAAATTTTTTGAATTCTTTCTTTTATTGTACTTTAGATGAAGGTTTACAGAGCAAACTAGTTTCTCATTAAACAACTAATACACATATTGTTTTGTGACATTGGTTGCCAACCCCATGACATGTTAACACTCTCCTCTTCTCGACCTTGGTTCTCCATTACCAGCTTTCCTGTCCCCTCTTGCCTTCTCTTTCTTGTCCCTGGGCTGGTGTACCCTGTCTTAGTCATCTAGTGCTGCCATAACAGAAATACCACAAGTGGATGGTTTTAACGAAGAGAAGTTTATTTCCTCACAGTCAAAGTCGGCTAAAAGTCCAAATTCAGGGCGTCAGCTCCAGGGGAAGCCTTTTTCTCTCTGTCGGCCTTCTTCTCTTCGGTGTTCCCCTGGACTAGGAGCTTCTCTGCGCAGGGACCCCGGTCCAAAGGACGCGCTCTGCTCCTGGCACTGCTTTCTTGATGGTATGAGGTCCCCCTGTCTCACTGCTCACTTCTGTCTTTTATATCTCAAGAGATTGCCTCAGGACACAATCCAGTCTTGTAGATCAGGTACTGCCTTACTAACACAACTGCCACCTGTCCTCCCTCATTAACATCATAGAGGCAGGATTTACAACACATAGGGAAATCACACAGTACCAGGAATCATGGCCCAGCCAAACTGATATACACATGTTTGGGGGGACATAATTCAAACCATGGCATACCCCTTTAGTCTCATTTTGTTTTATGGGCTTGTCTAATCTTTGGCTGAAGGGTGAACTTCAGGACTGACTTCATTACTGAGCTATAAGGTGTCTGGGGGTCATACTCTCCGGGTTTCTCCAGTCTCTGTCAGACCAGTAAGTCTAGTCTTTTTTTTGTGAGTTAGAATTTTGTTCTACATTTTCTCCAGCTCTGTCTGGGACCCTCTATTGTGATCCCTGTCAGAAGAGTCGGTGGTGGTAACCAGGTACCAGCTAGCTGTACTGGACTCAGTCTGGTAGAGGCTGTGGTACTTGTGGTCCATTAGACCTTTGGATTAATCTTTCCCTTGTGCCAAATCTAGAATTTCTAGAAGCACTATGATCTTGAAAGCAGCAGATGATACAGAATGAGAGGTAAGGACAGAACTCAGAAGAATTGTGGTTGACCAGAAGTGGCAAAAAGAGAGCTTTTGCATCAAGTATTAGCTCAAAGGCAACACACTTCTCTGCATCCATGGCTGCTCAGTACGTGCAAGGTAACTAATTCTTCTAATCTAATCAGAAATGAAGGGGAAGTCAGGAACAAAAAAGGATTCAGTGGCTTTAGAAATGCAGAACAGGATCTGATGTAAGTTGGCCATGGCTGTGGCCTGAAACAGCAGGGAAAGCACAGTGAATGTGTAGCTCTAGTTACCATCTGCAGAGCACTGCCATGTACCTAAGAGTTCGGCTTCTAACCACAAGGCTGGCAGTTTGAATCCACTAGCCGCTCTTTGGAAACCCTATGGGGCAGTTCTACTCTGTCCTATAGGGTCGCTACGAGTTGGAATCAACTCAACGGCAATGGGTTTGTTTTTTGGTTTTTGCCGTGTACCAGGCTGCAATCCCATTTGCTTTAAATGCTGTCTTGACAGTTTTCAGGCCCTGTCTGTTCATTTCCTTTCTTGAGCAACTTATTACGTCCACTCTCCAACCACTCCCTGTATCATGTTCTCACATGTCTGAGTCACTGTGTACCTGTCCTAATCTCCCCAGGGACAGGTACCAAACAACTAAGGATACAGCCCTTATGCCCCCTGAGCCTGCAGAATTATTAAAAATGCCCAATCCCCAGGAATCCTGTGAAACCTAGTTAACCCCACCCTGCTTGCCATACATAAGCCCTCTCTTACAATTCCAGCTTGTTTTTACCTTGTCCGTGGGTGTGACCCTTGTGTGGCCTGCATCATGGCGTGCTGTACTTCCCTGTCTCCAGAAAATGTGAGCATAATAAACCTGGTTACTTTTCGTGGCCTCCCTGACTCCTCTTTCCTGTCACACCTGATTTATAACCCCACAAGTTTGTTCTGCCGCAGGCACTCTGTGGTGCTTTACATATGTTATTTTTTTAATATTTTATTTTGTTGTTGTTGTTGAGAATATACATAGCACAACACACACCAATTCAACCATATCTACATGTACAATTCAGTGACATCAATTACATTCTTTAAGTGGTGCAACCATTCTCACCCTCTTTTTTGGAGTTGTTCCTCCCCCATTCACATAAACTCACTGCTCCCTATGTTTCCTACCTAATCTTTTGAGTTGCTGTTGTCAGCTTGATCCCATATAGGTAGAAAGAGTGTCTGCTCTGAGCATTGTGCTCTTTCCAGGTCTATCTACATACCTTATTTTTGATCCTCTCGACATCTCCCTCGTTTCCCTCTTTTTACAGAGGAGGAAACATGTCTAGGCCACACCGCATTTCCCACATAGCCCTCAGCACAGGGGCCTGGTACACAGCCTGTGCTCAGTAAATAACGATGAAGGGAATAACAGGATAGAATGGCAGAGCTGAGACTTGATCTGACCCCAGCACAGAACACACCCTCCTGGAGTCTGAGCCCCCACCTAGCTGGGCTGCAGAGCCAGGCAGAGCAGGCCTGAGCACGACCCACCAGGGTGGGGTTGTGGGGCTTTTTGGGGAAGGGATGGGGTGCTTATTAATGGAACAGAAAATCATAAAAGAAGAAGTGCAAGACTTGCTTTAAAAAAAAAAAAGCGTGTCGTGGGTCAAAACGAGAGAGGCTGAATGTTATCAAGGCCAACTGTTTTATAAACGTCAGGAAAAAATCAACATTGGCATTTTGGGTTATATAAATTCTGTGAAGAGCTAGTATGAACAAGTCATCAAACAGTGCCACAAACAAGACCATTACCTATAGAATCAAAACTCACCCTCAACACAGGTAGTGAGGGTGACCTTTCCTGTCTTGAGTAACCACACAGTCTTGACTGTCTGAGAAAGGTTGCCAAAAGTAGGAAGTAAGAGACTGGGATGGAGAAGAAAACAATTTTTGCTTTGGCCTGGCCTCAACTTGTATCAATAGGCTATTCGCCCCATATTTTTAAGAGGCTATTTTCCTTTTAAGGTTCCCACTTGGGACTTCAGGTGAGACCAAAGCCCTGGCCAGCACCTGGACTGCATCCCCTTGAGAGACCCTGAAGCCAAGGACCCAGCTAAGCTGTGGCCTGGATTCCTGACCCACAGAAACTATGAGAAAATAAGTGTGTGTTGTTTTATGCTGATAAGTTTGTAGTAATTTATTACACAGCAATAGATAACTAATACACCTATAATGAACATCCTTCATTGATTTATTCCTTTGTTTATTCAACAAGTGATTTTAATATGTATTATATACCAGGCATATACTAAGCACTGGAAAAAAAACCAAAACAGACGTGACTTATGTCCTCAAAGAGCTTACAGTCTAGTGGAAGTGTTATGGGGATATAGGCATCAACAAATAACCTTATCTAAAATGAAATAATTTCAACTGGGATAAGTGTAATGAGGAGAAAGCATAGCATGTTGTAAGTGTGGATAAAAGGGAAACCTAATTTAATCTGGAGACCCAGGGTGTGTGTGATGGAGGTATAGGGGTGGGGGACTAAAGCCTCTCCCAAGCCACCTCTGGATGCCACCACTAGAGGCCAGTTTGGTGTTTCTAAAGGACCATTGAGGGGAGATTTTTCAATATCCTCCCATAGGGGAAGAGATGAAAGACAGTGCTTGGAGGGGAAGGGGCTGATGCTGCCAAAACTAGAGTAGGGCTTTGGAAGGGGGTTCCTTACCCTCACAGCTGTCAGGACTGAATGGTGCCTGAGATATAGCCTCTATGGCTCCAAAATATATCATAGGGCCTCTCAACATGGGTTCAATGTTTAGAACAGTGTGTGGCGTGTGGTAAGTGCTACCCAAGTATGAGCTTGTACTATTATCATTACTAATACCTCACATCCAATTTTGGGCATGGAAGCAACAGGGTCACCGGCCTTCAGAGGCTTATGTAGACCTGGGTTGCTGACATCTCAGCATCGGCCAGAGTGATTAAGACGGACCTCCCCAAGTGTTCCAGATAGCATATGACCCCTGCGAAATTTGATTGGCCTTGTACCTTAGGAGGGAGACCCACTAATAACTAAGATTCCATTTTTTGCTACCTGGCAAGTGGAAACTTGGAGTTGGATTTAATTTGATTTAGAAAACTAATGTGCCAATTCTTACAGCTGAGTATCATGCTTGAGTAAAATTCATGCCCATTACTGCGGTCTTTGATTTTAAGGCAACAAAGAGACATCGGCTCTTTTAGAGGATCTTAAAATACACATTTTTTTTTTGTTTGTTTACTCATAGCCAGTCCTACTAAATGTGAAGAAAATTCTTTGGTAGAAATATTCTTATAATGCAACTGCTCATATGTTGGCATATTTGGAATATTATAAAAATTATTTTAGAACCTGTAATTTTTTGAGATTCTTGAAGGCTTCTGGGTGAATTCTGAAGATCTTGTTGCCCTTTAAATAGAGGTTCTCCAGCTGTAGGCAGTTATGAAAATCAGTCAAACCAATTTGCGATATCCCATTGAATGATAGATCCAAACTCTGTAATGACCTCAGTTTCCACAGTCCTGTTAAAATTAAAAAGCAAATTAAAATCTAAACTGGTGATATTCACTACAAGCATAAATGATTCTCAGTAGAGAAGTATAGTATATCAATACTATGAAATACTATGGGGTAGATCAACATGCACTGACTGAACAGAATTCCAAGGTATAAAGAAGGAAAAGGTTAAGTTGCAGAACAGTATAAAGTATAATTTCAATGTTTTTGGGGAAAAAAAGAGCCATCTACAAATACATACATATATTTTGAGTAAGCAGAGAAAAAGTCTACAAGGATATGCACTAAACTATTAAGAGTAGTTAGGAGTGAAGTCCCTAGGCAGTGCAAATAGTGTGCTTGGCTGTTAACTGAATGGTTGGCAGTTCAAGTCCACCCGGAGGCATCTTGAAAGAAAGGCCTGGTATTCTACTTCTAAAAAAATCAGCCATTGGACAACCCTATGGAGCACAGTCCTACTCTGACACTCATGGGGTCACCATGAGTAGGAATCCACTCAACAGCAAGTGGTTTGGTGGTTCTGCTTAGAAGCAGGATGATTGAGGGAAGTGGGGTGGGATAAGGAAGAAAACTTTGTTTTTACTTTATACACTTTTGAATTCTTTCTTCTAATGAGCATGTGCTTTTATAATAAAAGCATCAATTAAAACAAAACAGGACTAATGAGGCACAGCAGTCCAGGGACAAGGACTAGAAGGCAAAAGGGGACAGGAAAGCTGGTGATAGGGAACCTCAGGTTGAGTAAGGACATTGTTGACATGTAGTGGGGTTCTTAACCATTGTCATAGGGCAATATGTATACTAACTGTTTAATGAGAAACTATTTTGTTCTGTAAACCCTCATCTAAAGTACACACACAAAAAAGAATATGTGAGATCAAATTGACAGTAGCAACTCAAAAGGTTTGATGGAAAGCCTAGGGGACAGTGAGTTGAAGACAATGGTGATGAAATAATTTGGAAAAGGATAGTGAGAATGGCAGCACAACTGGAAGAATGTAATCGAGGTCACTGAATTATACATGTAGAAATTTTTGAAATGGTGTTTCTTTGGCTATGCATATTTTCACCAAAAAGAAAAGGCCCTCCCAAGGTCAAGAAGGGAGAGTGTCAACATGTTGTGGGGCTGTTAACCAATGTCATAAAACAATATGTGTACTGACTGTTTAATGAGAAACTATTTGTTCTGTAAACCTTCACCTAAAGTACAATAAAAAATTTTTAAAAGAAAAGCATCAATTAAATCTAACCTTGACTGAAAGAGGTGACAGGTAAATATTTGTGTATTTGATTAAACTCTGGGTAAAACTAAATAACCTTGCTAGGGTGGTTGTTGTTGTTTTTTAGGTGTCGTCGAGTTGGTTCTGACTCATAGCTACCCTGTGTACAACAAAACAAAACACTGTCTGTCCTGTACCATCCTCACAATTGTTACTATGCTTGAGGCCATTGTTGCATCCACTGTGTCAATCCATCTTGTTGAGGGTCTTCCTGTTTTTCACCAACCTTCTACTCTACCAAGCAAGGGTAACAGAGGAAAAAGTTGTTCTTATGCTTATATGGATGAATTCTTCCAGCTTTAAGATTTTAAAATTTTATTTTGTAGCTATATTCTTTCTTTTAATTACTTATTATTGTTGATCTTATGACTATTTTCTGGGCATTCTTGTATTTTTCAAAGGTAGAAAGTGAGAGCTAGATTTTAGTTTCTGGCAAAAAATCATTGAATTGAGTTTTCGTCTCTACCTTTGCATTTCATTTCATTCAGAGAGTAACCAGGAGGCCCATCTGGCACTGAAAATAAAGGTTCAGAATGCAGCACCAGTCTTAGTATCCTCCCAAATTTGATTTTTCATAAGAGTCTTACAAGGAAACACCTGCATTATCCCATTTCCTTCTGCTCTGTTCTCACATGTAGTCTGTGTCTTTAACCAACTACTATGTAACAGCTCACGTTGGTTAAATTCCAGGAGGGTTTATTCCTTACCCGCTATCTACAAGGTATTTTTTATAACTTAATTGAAATGACTTCACCATGTAGGGTGTCATACGTTCATTTCTGTTGTACAGACTAAGCAGGGACCATTAGGACAGCAAATCAATGAAAACATGAGCAAGGCATTTGATGCTGAGACAAGTATAGCATAGAATTCTTGCCCTTAAAAAGTTTATAGCCTGGTTGAGAGATAAGACATACATACAAGAAAAAGTTACTAGTTGTACAAAGCAGTTCCTCATAAGCACCATTCAACTATAAATTAACCATTATTTGTCGCTTCTCCATCAGATGATCAGACCCTCAATGCAGAATTCACATCTTTGAACCACTGGAATTGCTACAGTATATTCAATAGACCAGGGATCACAGTGTTTGGCCTACACAGAGATTTAAAAATTACTGAGCCTACATAAAAGATTTCATACAAAAATCTGCATTTCTGGCTTCTATTGGAAAATTGGAAGTTCCAACTGGCACAAGACAGCATTTGGCTGAAGCTGAATGAGAGCTGCCTGCTTTAGATGGGGCACGTACTTATGGGAAAGTATTATTGTTTTGTACTCGTGTCTCTGTCAAAAACAGGAAAACAAAGGATAGAACAAGAAGCCTGCAGTATTTAATAAAAATGAGAGATAATCAAAGCTGAGACTCAGCTTGCATGTTAGTAATAAATTCTTTGTTGTTCGTTCATAAATAGCCATTGCCCAAGCTCTTGCTTGCTGCCCACTACCCTAGGTAATCCATCCTATCTCCCTACCCCCATAATTCAACACAATCCATCAGAACTCTTGCTCCAGCACTATTGCCAGGAGGCATCTAAGTGGGGAGCTCAGGGTGAAGACCTGTTGTTGAATATTTTGAATATAAGCCCTTGAGAGAATAGGTTTATTTGTAGAGAGAAGAATATTCCTACATGTTTTAATATGCAAACATATAGGTCTGTGGGAAAAAAAATGCAGTATAAATGCAATATGAAAGAAGCTATAGTTTTCTTAACATTTCCACGGTAACTTCCTGGCCTAGGTGAACTCATAATTCCTACAATATCTCAGTGCTTAATTGAACTGAATATTGTTAAAAGGTCAGTGGAGGAGGAGATCATGTCTAGCTTTGGAGTGGAGGGAAGAAATTATTTTTAAATTCCTATTTAATTGTGCACTCTTTACGCTCAAAGAGTTTTAGAAACATCTCTTTTAATCTTCACAAAGACCTGTGAAATTATCTCCATTTTGCAAACGACAAAACCTGAGCTGAGACAAGTTAAGAACTTGCCCAATGTTATGGTAGGTGGAGCTGGAATTGAAACCTGGATCTCTTAACTATTACCCTTTAACCATATTCATATCTTTTAAAATGAGAGCAGTGCTGGTTCAGTGTTAACAGTTCTCCCATACCCTGCAGGAGACCCAGGTTCGATTCCTGGCCAAGTTACCTCATGCGCTGTGGGGATATATGCCATTTAAACATGGCTGCACTATTGACAACTGCAGCCCCCACAGGCCTCTATGCTGCACAGCATGTTGAGACTTGTCCCCAACATGTTGAGACTTGTCCCCAACATGTTGAGACTTGTCCCCAACATGTTGAGACTTGTCACATGTGTTTTCCCAAACATATTGTCCCTTTACTGATTGACTTGTTTACCTGAATTCCTTCTCCCTTGCCCGCACCCAAAGCC